GTTTGATGAGAATCTGATATCACAAAAGGTTATAGTCCATCAATTGTTGTCTCATCCAAAAGACTTGAGCACAACAACTTTGCGCGATTGTATAATCGGCTTTGTCGATGGATAAATCAACACTAACTTGTTTATGCAATACCAAAACACAAGTACTGAATATCCAAAATGATATGTTCCACTAGTGCTTATCCTGATCATTTTGCAACCCTCAAAGTTAGAATCAGAATATTCAATTAGATTACAAACCGAAACTTTGAGATATCATAAGTCCATGTTCAAGGTGCCTCTAAGAGACTTAAGGATTGACGTCGATCAAATGAGATTCCTTAGGATGCAGTAGGTATCTCACAGTTATGAAAATGTTAAACATGACGTCAAGTCTACTAGCGGTAAAATACAGTAAAGAACCAATCATACATCTATATATTTTTATATCAACATCCTTATCATTCATATCTTTATGTAAGGAACAATAAGTACAATTGGTAAAGCAATTACTTTGGCATTTCGTGAAGAGCTCATACTCATGTTTGTGACTACTAATTAAATAAAATTTATAACAGATATTGATATAAGAATAATATTAATAGATTTCTTTGTAAAATATTTGAAATATACTAGTATTTTTACCCGTGCAACGCACGGGGTCGAACACAATTTTTATTGGTTCTAAAACTTTTTTAATGCAATATTTTTCCCAGAATAAAGAAAATATATTTCCCTATGATTTTTAATACTATATACAAAAATTTCAAAGTAGAATAAACAATATTTGAGGAATTGAATGTGTATTCAACCAAGTTTTTTTAATACCAAACTTTTTGAAAGACTGTAGGGTATATAATTTTTTTGATATAGTTGCAAGGGTATCATTGTCATCTGGAACCAATATTTTTAATTGTATTTTTGTCTTCAATCATGGAACTATAATATAAAGCTGACCATGAGTGAATACCAACTTGGTTAAAAGTAATGCAAGAAATGACAATGTTTGACTTTGACTTTTGTTGATAGTCATTGCAAAATATAAGACTATTGAGATTTGCCTTATAAATAACTTCAAAAGTAGTCCTAGATCATATGGTATCAATTTCATTTGAAGTATGTAAACTTTTTGCTGACTCGATTTCTCAAAACCACAATAGACCAACAACATTCTTTCACAACTCTTCAAGGATTAATCGTGTACCATTACATAATCCATATATATTTGGTCAATGTTTCTCAATATCAAAATCGTTAACCCATTTTTAAGATTATTTTGTAGTTTTGGATCCCCGAACATTTGATTTCATTTAAAATTTAATTGTTATTTAATTGCCATCAATAATTACATCTGAATTGGCCTGACATGAAGAATCAAAACTCAGGCACACCATTTCATATTAGGGAATGAGGGATATGACAAATTCATTTACCATTTCTACAACCTCAAGCATGGTCCAGTAGTGCCATATCCTAAAAAATGAACAAATTTTCATACTCTCCAATATGTTCAATTAGGATAAGTGAAGTCCACTATACCCTTCACAAAATAACTTGTGTCTAGAATTAATAATTTATGCGGAATTTTAAGGTCAGTTGTTTCATCAACCACTTGTCTAATTTTTTCATCTCTAACTTTAATTATCCAATAAGAAAAAATTTGTGTGTCCCTATCTGGAATAGAGGACGTAGAAAAATGTAATATCATATTCTTCGCTAACATATAAATTTTAAAATACGACCATAATTTTAAAGAATAGATGATAGCACTCACACTTTTCTCTCTTGAAGTTTTGGGTAAAACAAGAAGAGTTTGCCAAAAATCACATCTGAGTACAACTATTTTCCCTTCGAGTCCTACTTTTTCCCCTCCGAATTCAACTATTTTCCCTCCAAATGGTTCATTTTCTAGAGTTTTTATTAAATAAATTCATTATATCTCTCATTTTGTGATCCAGCACCTTAAAAATAAATCTATTCATCATACATGCTCCATCCCATATTACTAGACTTACTTGTTGGATTAGTTCTGCTTTCGGACTCTCTTGTTTGATGGCACACGTTATGCAATCGCCCAAAGAGATTTAGAATCTCAAGTGTAATGTCATTCACCCATGTCCTTCCCCCATGAAAAAGTAATGCTGCAATACCACTGGATGTGACATTCAAGACAATCTTATCATTTGACATTAGAGAAATAAACACTGATTTCCATAAAAAAAAAAAATTCAGTTCCACTGTAACCATACATTAAAAAGAAACTTCCTCTTTCAGGTGTCACGACTTCCATTATCTCATCGTATATATTATGCTGATATTCATTCATTGTAGATAAGTATCTCATAAGATCATATGCAAACTTTTCTTTTTCACTTTTATAATGCAAAATCATTCAAGCCCTTGATAGTATTCTCGTCAATATACAAAATGTTTTATCAAAATACAAATAATTATAAATTTGAAATTATATTTCTCTTTGATGTGGTTGTAACTTGTAACTTAGTCTCGATCTTATTAGTCTCCATTCGGATTTAATATTTTCATTTGACTTTTCTTGGTCAAATTTNGTAGATAAGTATCTCATAAGATCATATGCAAACTTTTCTTTTTCACTTTTATAATGCAAAATCATTCAAGCCCTTGATAGTATTCTCGTCAATATACAAAATGTTTTATCAAAATACAAATAATTATAAATTTGAAATTATATTTCTCTTTGATGTGGTTGTAACTTGTAACTTAGTCTCGATCTTATTAGTCTCCATTCGGATTTAATATTTTCATTTGACTTTTCTTGGTCAAATTTCGTACACTTTAACTATGTTATATAGAAAAAAGGAATCTCTTCATGTTTAGTAGCTAAATAATAAATTTTGGATTTCCGATCAACAAAATTGGAAATCTGTTCTCGTAAGCTCCACAAAGAATATGGAAAATAATATATACTTCACCAAAAAAAATGCTATCAATTTCCTTTTTAAATAGATTACTAATGATGCCCTCCCTTAAACTTACCAAATGAAGTGTGAGTACATCATCAATTACACAATAGTTTTCACAATTTCACCTATCTACACTATAGAAGAAAAAAAAGAAATGTATGCAAAGAGGTTCCCAAGAAGTTGAAGGAAAGATGATGATTTTGTAAAATAAAAAAAGATATATAAGGTAATATAAGTGTAGAAGGAAACTTTTGGTAGTTACTACTCCATATATATTACTCTGTATATATTTCTTAAACAAAACTAAAAAAAATCACTCAAATAGAAGTAAGACATAAATCTTATGCCCAGAATAAGAGTTCAATATTTTTATTTCCTAAATAAAGTTTACACAATGACGTTGTGGCACTGTATATTACCATTTCATAATGTTTTTAGCACTATATAATAAAATATTGGTATTGTAGTTAATATTTTGGAGATAAAAAATATGAAACTCATATTTTGGCACTTTCTCCATATTCTAATCTTATTTTAGTATTTTTTCCCAAATAATTATAGTGGCACTTCGTAGTCCATATAGGCGGCGGATGATTTGTTAAAATGTTGCCATGTAGACTCACCACTTATTGTAATTCTATGAGTTTAACTTTTAAATTTAATATATAAAGATAAAGATTGGCCTCGATATATGAAAATTTTTTTTTGTTTATCTATAAATGCAATATCAATAATCTTTTTTAAAACGTTGTTTTGAAATATAAATTTTCATAAGATACGATAAGTATAAATATTGATATTAATGATTAAAATATTATATTGGAGAGCGTTAAAAGTTAAATGAGAAGATTCAATCTACTTATACAATGAGGAGTTTTAACATGGTCATTTTTTTTCAAGATATGTAGCAACCAAACCCATTCTTTTTGTTTAGTATAAGACCACTAACCTAAATATAAAATTAATAAAATTCATTCAGAGAAGTAGGTGCATAATTAATTATTTCATAAAAATGGGTGAATCTAAATCACTTTTTTATGCAAAAATATAGTCCCTCCGTCCCTCATAAATCTTCTCATTAACCTTTTTATTTGTCCACCATAGATTTTCTCATTACCTTTTTTAACAATTAAAATATATACCACAACTATCCCCACTTACTTTATTTATTACACCTCACCTATCTCATTTAATACACTCCACCCATTTTCATTAAGGGTATTATGGTAAACTTTTACATTTTTTCAACTCTCCTTAAAAACCACAAAAAGTCAAAATGAGAAGATCTTAAGGGGACGGAGGGAGTAATTCTAAATCCAAAAATAAAAAGTGTTCTTTACCCCCCCATACGTATATATGGTAAATAAATTGGTATGTTTAAATAATTCTAAAAACTTTATTCATTAACTGTCTCAGTTTGCTTTGCTGTCAAATGTTTGAATAATTATTTATATAAATATATAATGAATTGAAATATTAAAAATTAGACTTTAATCTCAAAATAAAAAATATGTTTGATAAAGAATTTCATTGGTCAAACATATCATTCGAAAAATGAACCGGGTGTTAAAAACAATAGAGTTACTAATTCTTAAGATTAACTGCATGAAACTAAAAAAGACAAATAATTTAGTTACTATGTTCAATCAATAAAAAATAAAATAAAATAATGTCAAATCAGTACTCCGTATGTTGATTAAAATTACCAACTCATTAAAATAATAAATAGACAACAGATGATTTATTAAAGATGTCATATTAGCTCGTGACATGCCAATATCATGTAAGTCAGAGTCTCAAATTTTATAATAAAAGGAAGAATTAGCCAATAAATGTCATTAGCAATTAATTGAAAGTTTTTTATAATTAACATTTATAACCTCTTAATTATAATTACTTTACATATACCTCGTAAAAGTTTTTCATATGTGCAATAATGGAGAATGAATATCCTTTAATATAATATTTGAGAGTTGATAGTCTAGAATTTTGACACGTGACAAACTTAGACTCCTAATTTGATGACAGGCGTCCAATAAGTGAGAGGAAACGAATTTAGATTCCAGTATCCGTTCTCTCTCTCGCCCAAGTTCTTCGCACGGAAGGAAAGAAATCTTCGCTAGCTGATTCCTCGCTGCAAATCTTCACGCTGAAAGGAAACGAATTGCCATTCATCCCTGATTCCTCACAGCGTTGGATTACGGAAGGAAAGAAATCCAGGTACTGCTATACGCCTTCCATTCTTCTTCTTCGGCTACCCCAATTTTTCCCTAATTTTAACCGGAAATTAGGGTTGATTAATACCAATCTGCTTCCTCCAATTAATTGAAATAATCTGCTTCGTCATTTTTTTCATTCCCTGTAGCGGCCAAACTCAGAGTAAATCTGTATTCATCAGGGAAGCCGAAATTCTAACGATAGAGCACTGATTTCGGTAAGTTATTTCTCCATCTCGATTGGGATTATATAACAATTTCTAGGATTTTTTGTTGCTGTCTCGATTCCAATTACTATTTTAGTTATATCCTAGAGTTGGTCAAAGATTAGTATGTTGTATTCATTATTTATTATTTGCTTCAAAAAGTGATTATTTTGCTTAGTTTTTAATTTCAGACTGGTTCTGATGATATTCCTTTCAATTTAGCATTTAAAGATGTCATCTTCCGCAGAAGTTGGAGTTTAGATGTTGAAATGCCCCTTGGGGCCATTCAGAGCAAATTGGATGAAGAAGGTAAAAACTTTCTCAGGTCAAGATTGGTTTTTTCCACTCTGTGTGTTATGTGCAATTTTCCAATCAATTGTTTGCTTGAACAGAGTTGGTCATTCAAGATATGCTGCCCACAATTAGATGAAGGGACATGTGTAAGATAGAAATCTGCTTCTGGAAAACTATGATGCTGATATAAGCTATCAGTTTTGACGAAGATTCAAGACACAACATTTGCAGGTTTATGTGATTGGTAGCTCTTTAAAGCTGGGTCAATGGAAGGTTCAAAATGGAGTGAAGCTCAATTACTCGGGTGACTCATTTTGGCAAGCAGATTGTGTGATGGGAAAAGATGACTTTCCTTTGAAATATCCTTTAGGTGCCTTCATGATAGGCATGCATGCTCCCATTGGGCCTTAATTTAGCAATTCCTATTACTACATTATATCTCACCAATCAATCTTCCTTATTGATTTTTACATTCAAGTACTGCAAATATAGGAAGGGCGGAGCACTATCTTTGGAACATGGTGCTAATCGGGAGCTTTCTCTTGACTTCACTAATAGTAGTCAACCAAAATATGTGATCCTTTCAGATGGAATGATGCGGGTAATCCCTTAACAATATATGTCTTTTAATCTCTTGGATCTCTCCGTGTTAGAGTGTTAGATCTTAATCTGTCCCTAACTCATCCCAAAAGGATCTCCAAGAGTTGAGGTATGGGATACCTTGAGTCCCTTGACATTGCATAATGTTGACAGTAGCAGGATTTTTTAATACCATTTTAAATTAGCCCTAATGCTTATGCACATTGAACTACACTCCAAAAATCCTCTACAAATGAGGTTTATCTAACACTTAAGCAATACACTCAGACCCAGTGAATGACGAATGTGTGATGCTCAACAGTAAATGATGAAGTATGAACTGAAAAGGGACATGATTTTCTATGTTAAAATGAATTTCCTTGGAGAGGCGCGGGTGTTGCAATCCCGATGTTCTCTGTGAGATCTGAAGCTGATGGAGTTGGGGATTTTTTGTTGCTGTCTCGATTCCAATTACTATTTTAGTTCATCAAACAGAAAGATTTATTTTTTGCTGGTGGGATTTAAAGCTTCTAATTGCCGATATTCAATGAACAAGCAAAGATTTCATTTTTTAACCTAGATTTTATTCTACAAATAGAGAATGAATATTAATGTGGAAAATACTAATTTCACAGATTCTTTAGTAGCAAGAGACCAGCAAATAGTAATAAAATAATACTGTATGCCTTATGAACAATAAAATTGTATAGCTCATAGTCCTTGGAAGTTATAATTCTTCCTCTTATTCGCTGATAATCCTCGGATATTATTTTGTCAATTTCTCTTCTAATGGAAACACAGTGATAACTCATCGGGATATGCGTGAATTAAATTGGAATGTGAAGGGCTGGTCACCACACTCTACGCAGAATCTCAAAGTACAGAGAGAAAAAGTTGCAGGTCAATATTTTTTCTTTGACAAATTCGTTGCATTCTTTGTATGTCAATACCGAGTATTTGGGGGGAGAAGGTAATTCCTTAATATTTCCAATTCTCATCCTCAATTTGTGTAGGGTAGATTCTCATGTCTTTACAAAAGTGTCTCGAGATAATCGAAGGAGAAGATCAAGAGATGATCGGGAATTATGAACGAACACTGTGCATATCGAGTCGCTTAATTTGCCAGAGAAAATACTTGGTCGATACTGAGAGCTCTTTCAAATAGTGTTTCCTTCATTCAAATCCTTTGAATCACTTTCATTGGTAAGCTTTAATTGAGTAAATTTTCTTGAATTCTTAAGGTCTATATTTAGTAGTTATTGCTCAAATTTGCGTTTTCCCCAATTTTGAATGTAATTTTTCCCTTGATTAACTTGCAATTCCATGTTTAAAATTGGTTTGTTTTTTTATTCCTAAGTTCATATACAATTTTGTGAGTATAAAAAGATTTTAGACATATTTGTTTCCAACTTTAGTTTTAATGAGTAATTTACTCAGTATAAAAAAAATTTAAACAAATTTGTTTCTTGATCAAGAGGAAGGAATCCAGGTTTACGTTCGCTATCTCAAGGAGCAATTTGTGGTTCCATATTCACACAATCACTTTGAAACACAATTCATTTTTAGAACTTAAAAAGTTACATTTACTAATAGTTTACATTATATTGTTTTTTAGTCAGAATAGAAAAATGACCAACATGAATGACCATGGTTCTTGCTGATATAGGTGTTCTTCGTATTGACAACTTTGATAAGATGAATTACCAATGCTGCCTAGCTTTATGGAGCAGCAGAGTGTAACAATCGCTAAAGTTGGAATGCATGCATCCTTGAATGCTCGGTACAACAAATCCTGTATATGAATTTGTGAGTTTACTTTATTAAAATCACTTGGGAATGTAGATATACAAAGAGGGTTGTCATATTTTTAGGCTCATATATTTACATATGCTAATTCAGGTTTGTATCAAATATATCATGTAGTAAAGACTATATATTTGTGTTTTTCAAGTGTTGTTGTCATGGATATGTCAGGTTATCCTGACCCTGGCATCAATAGAAAATTTGCAGCGCAAACTCAAATCTGGGAGCTTTACTTCATGTGATAGGTATTATGTTGAACTCACTTTATGCTTGAAATACATTTATAAATTGTATCCCTATGCTATTTCAAAAAATTAAAGATTCCTAAATCCTATGCTATCCTTTAATATAAAATTTGAGAGTTTGGACTCTGAGAAGTTGACATTTGGCACTTCTTAAGGCTTTGTTTCTTCACAAATTGCCACGTGTCTCTATCAACACGATTCGCACGTGTTTTTTATTCCGTCAAGGAAAAAATGGAGAACCCAAAGAAGGAAATTATTGAAGATCAGGTCGTGGCTTCTTCAATTTTCCATAATTTTATTTCCTCTAAGAGAATACGGAGAACCCACGAAGGAAAGTCACGGAGATTACGGCCATGATTTCTTTATCGAATGAAATTTTGGAAAATTCCAAAATCAAAACCTGTGGAAAATTCCTAAATTGAAATCCATGGTGAATTGGCAGGTCCTCTCTCTTGATACCATAATTGGTTCTTCTTCACATTATTGAGATCCAAGATGCCATACAAGAACCGTTGGCTCTTCTTCAGATAAGGAAACTAACGAAAACTTCCTGCATTTGTTACTGAAATTCAAAGTTATTATTTTTATTCAAATCATATTCTTCTCTGATTTCACCTTAACTGTTTGATTCTTTATAGACTAGCATATTTTATTAGGGTAAGATCTGATTTAATGCCGTCAAATTCACAATTCCAATATGCAGATTTCATACTTTAATTGACCCATTGCTTGATTCCCACGATTATTTTTGCCATGACTATATACATATACATTCTACACGCACAACTCATGTCACCTCCTCTGCTTGAATCAACTGAAAAATATTAACCCGTACTAATCCATACATTTTTTAGAAGTTGCCATGTCTAAACCTATCCATACTTTGTCAAGAATAACTCCCACCAGTGAATGTTAGAGAATCAAGGTTCGTGTAATAAGACTATATACTTTGCCCGTATATAGTGATGAGAAGACAACAAATTCCATTGAGATCGATGGTCTTCGTGGACGAACATGTAAGTTGATTTCTCATACTCCACCATATACTTCATTCATGTTTTTGTTTAGAGGATATATCATCATCCATGTTGCCAATATGGTTAAAAACTGAAATTCTGAAGGCAGAAATATAAATCTTAAGTTGGTTTATTTTTTCTTTTTTTGTATTTTTTTGTATGTCAAAGGCTCTATGAAGAATTCCGGGTTGCTTTAAAAGTATTTCCTAGAGGCTACGAATGTCAGCCTTAGTTGTGCAGACAAGAATGGTTCTTTTATAGCAATCTATATCTATTTTAGGATTGTCGGTAGATTAAATGTTTTTTCCCCCACAAGATTAACAATCACCAAATGTAGCTGTGATAAAATACCTGATCCGAAATATTTGAGGGGTAAACTTATACATAATATTTGTTTCAGACAATATGGGGATGCTAGCTGCTATCGGTGGGGAGAAAGATATAGTGAAGGAATCTAAAAGGACAAAGATAATTGTGATAACGTAAGAAGTATAAGGATACTTTATTATTTCTTCGCTTTATGGAAACAGTAGGATCAAGAAAAACTTTGCTGCTTTTCATTTCTAGAATCCACCGAGAACATATGGAAAAATGGCAGGAGGAAATTAAGGAACTGCCCTTGCTAGACGTTTCAAATGAGGAAGCTGGTGCAATTTTACAAAATGCCAAGTACAAGCCCAACATTTGTGTTGACTCCTGAAGGTAACTTTTCTGTTTAAATGAACTTGAGTACTATTCTGCTAGCTATATTAGTGTTTTAACATTAGAAGGCATCGTGATCACTTGACTCCTGAAGTACTATTCTGCTAGCTATATTATTCCTGCTTTTCACACATTCACCTTCTGGCCTTTTCTTTGGAGTGTGAGTGATCACCTTAGCCATCGACATGTTCTTTATTTGTAGAATGGTTTTATGCCTCATTTTGTAGAGAACGTTTCTCACTCTTATTTGTTTTTTCATCTAAACTCTCATATTACAGTTAAGAACTAATTCCTCTATGGGAATGTTACTTATTTTTCTCCATGTGTGTAATGATTCTCCAAATTTGCTTCCAAATGATTGATTGAGCAATTCCTCTTACCATTCACACAGGTAATGGCTTAGATGATGAATATGTGCCTAGAGAGAAAGAAGCTACTTTTTTGACTTTATCTTACTGGGTTCAAATGAGTGCTTACAAGAATGCTCCTGCCTCAAAAAAATTGCATTTAATTAATACATTAATACATTCTTTTCAATTTTTATATACATGAATTTAAGTTAGCATACTTTGTTTATATCGTATCTAACATTCTATATTATTTTACCTTTACTCTTTAATTATTTTCTTAAAACAAAAAATTAGAAGAGTTAAAAATAACATGTGTTCGACCCCGTGCGTTGCACGGGTTAAATACTAGTTTTCTATAATAAGATGTTTTCATACTTTAAGTTAAAATTGCCAAGTCACTTAAGTCATCAAATGTGGCATCAAATGTGGCTGATGATGTGTTAAATTAATGCCAAGTAGCCCGCCACATGTCGCATTTCTGGGAGTTTAACTCCCCAAATATTATATATAAAGGATAAAGGATTTTTTATTTAATTAACATACGGGTACCAGGTAACTTTTATTTAATAATATGTCAAAGGTTGATTCTGATTAACTATCAAAAGTCAAAACTCGATAAATATTTTTCATATAGTGAAATGAATCTCTAGCTTGCGCAGAGGGCTATCGCTCATTTCACATAGTGAAACTCATGTAGTCGCTTTGTAATGCCCTGAAAACCGTCTTAGTAATATTTTATTATATTTTTTGACCTGAGAAAATAAACTATTTTTAAAGTCAACTTTTTATTCGAAATTTGACTCATTGGGTAGATCTCGTGAAAACATGACCAATGGTATAAATGTAACACCACAAAACTTATCCTAAAATTTATTGAATTAAATATTCAATTAAACAATTTTTTTATTAAAATAAATTATTATTGGGCTTTGGGCCGATATGAGATATGTTTTGATATCCAATATCATAATCAGGATAAATCTCATAGATATAAATCCAATATATTGACTATTTGTGTGGTCTTGATTAGAAACTAGAGTACAGACCCAAATTAAGAAATAAAATAATTGTTTATGATGTAAATTTTATAATAATTTATTAAATAAATCACGAGAATAAATAATATGAATTGGATGAGAGAACCTTTTTGAATAAAGGTCAATTAAATCAATGTTTACTCTGTCAAAGTCAAACATTCAAAAATATGATGTCGGAAAAGGTATTACAAATAAATATAAAAATTATATCGTTGAATAGAGTTCGACTGTCCGATCGCAACGGTGCAAACAGAATTCAATTCGGAGAAAGTTTGACCAAAAAGTGTACCCCGATTAGGACCGAAATTAGTCCCAATCAGGGAAAAATCGTGTAAATCTCTGATCGGCGCCTCCAACTCCACTAACGTGATTTTCGCCGATCAAGCTCGTCACTCCTTTAGCAAGACCTCCCCACTCACACTATATAAGGAGAACACAACTCCTTCAATTTCTCACCATTCTTCACAATTCTCCTTCCTATTTTGTTGCTCTAAGTGAGGTGAACGCAGTGGTGCTATCAATTTGGTGTAAAGTCGCCTGAGTAAGCTGTTGTTCGCCGGAAGTTTCACCATTCAATCACCGGAATCATCGTTAAGCTTCGAGGTAAGCCCATAGACATATCTAGTTATTAAAATGTTTGTATAGATCATTTCTACGTTCATAAACGATTGTTTGGTTGAGTTTTGTGTTTGACATGTTTGAAGAACCAAGAATCATATACCTTGAATTTGTTGTTAAAACTACGAACTAATGACACTAAAATTATCTATGAACCTTGGAGAACATTTCTATATAGTTTAATTGAAGCTTGGTGACTAAAAATGACATTTCCAAAAATTGGCCTGAGGTTGAAGATGACAGTGTTCAAAACTACGCACAGTACGGTATCACCCTATCGCCCGGACGGTACCTAGGTACCGCCGGCGAGGTAGGCTATACCATGACATCGGTAAGCTGTCTATCGTTAACCCCTGCTTCTCTGGCGGTAGCTGACGACGGTCGGTGCCGAGGTAACGTGACACGGTACCGAGGTACCGTACCGGGTACCGTCCAAAACCTGATATTTTTCCAAAACTCGATTTTTGAACTATTAAATCCTATTTTTGATACCAACCAATTATGATCAATATAAGGATGATTTCTTGAAATAAAAATGATGTTTTTGACAAATAAAATCTTATGTGATGCATGACGGTAAGCTAGAGTGCTAGGACTCGAAGCTAGGATGATCAATATAAGGATGATCTTATGATCAATATAAGGATGATCAATATAAATTATTATTATTATTATTATAATAATTACTATTATTATAATCATCATCAACATCATCATCACGTTATCTTAATGAATGTCTTTAAGATACAAAAAAAGTATTGTTATTTTTTAAATACAAAAAACTACTTTTGCAAAAAAATAATTATAATATAAAGTTAGCATAAATATAAAAATATTGAATTTTAAAAAGTCTTTGTGGTTATATTGCACATCAATTTATTTATGCAGTATTTATTATGAATAATATTTTTGTAATTATAATTTATATATTACAATATTTTGTTTTAAATATCAGACATGTCACATTATGTAATCAAACCTATTGTTTCTTTCATGATTGACATTTTATTTTAATTGAAGTCCTATTTTTGGAATGAAGACATTGAACTTTTATTTTTACATTTTTTTTGTTTTACTCCTATTTTAAACTTTTTCTCTAAACTATTTTGACTTAGCAATTTTTTTATAAAAATTAGAAAAATGAGCAATTTTTAAGTAATAAAGGGAAATCTGAGAGGTCTTATATAAAGTTAGATTAAGAAAACATTCAAAGTAACTATTTTATCCATAATTTTTTAATATAATTTAACATATTGATGTTTTCCTGTTTTATCATGTAGACTAATATACAAAAATTGTCTTACTCATATTAAAAAGTTGAAGAAAAAATAATAAGTGTGAATCGTAAAAATAGTGAGATGAAAAAAATAATTTATAACCTATAGTTATGAACATAACAGTTGTAATAATAATAATACTAATAATAATAATCACATTAAAATATATCATTTTTAGAGTAATTGATTGATGAGTAGAAAAAGTTTGAAGAAAATGAGAATAGTTGGAAGAAACTTGAAGGAACTATAAGAAACTAGAAGGAATTGTAAGAAACTGGAAGGAACTGGAAGAAACTAGAAGAAACTGGAAGGAACTGGAAGAACTGGAAGAAATGGGAAGGAACTGGAAGAAATTGGAAGAAACTGGAAGGAACTAGAAGAAACTGGAAGGAACTGGAAGAAACTGGAAGTTAAGAGTTTAAGCCCTAAAGAACAAGCTCTGAGTCATGGATTGATTTCGAGACCTTGTTTGCTGCATGACGGTAACTAGGAGGTGTTTACACTCGACATTAGGCTGCTATTTGTATTAAATGATGATCTATCTTATTATCATTATTATTCTTATTGTAATTAAGTATAATCTCGATATGCTTAGAACAATTAAAGTAAACTAAAATTGTTGTGGGTAAAAACTTGAATATGTACGTAGAGATAATGTAATAAATGATTAGGCTACTAGGAGAAACTTTAGGACTTCTCTAGTGTGATTGTAAGTGTTAGGTGTTGTTTTTTTTTTTTGCAGAAAAAGGTTTGCAGTCTATAGACCACATCTGCACACATTTGTAGGAGAAGAGGTGGACCAAAGGTCTGCAGTTTGTAAGAGGAAGACTGTTTTTTTAATTTCTGCAGATTGCTTAAATAAACTGAAATTTAAATAAACAGAATTTTAAAGCAATCAATATTTTTTAAACATTTAAATTTAAATAAGAGTTCTACAACCCTGAAATAACAACAATAAATTTTTTTAACTCATCCACTGTATTTGGCTTTCAGATTGTTATACACATTTCTCATCTTTTTTTTACTCAAATCAATCCCAAACCTTTCCTTAAGATTCTAACTTATTTCACGACTCTTTGTGCAAACTCAACCCTTTTCTACCCAACGTGTTTACCTCTTCAATGCAAGTCTATAATAAGTATTTTATTTGCTCATTTGACCATTGTTGTTTCTCTCCCATTTCTGTTAATTAACAAACAAGGAGCAACAATATGAACTACTACAACAATCATTAGCAACAATTAATAATAAATCTGAACTACAACAACAATAATCAACAAGAATTAACAACAAATCTGAACTACAACAACAATAATCAATAAGAATAATCAACAACATGAACTACTACAACAATTTTTAGCAATAATTAACAAAAAATCTGAACTTCAACAACAATAATCAACAAGAATTAACAACAAATCTGAACTACAACAACAATCAACAAGAATAATCAACAACATGAACTACTACAATAATCTTTAGCAACAATAAACAACAAATTGTTGACTATTGTATACAAAAAGAGATTAAAAAAATGTAAAAAAAAACATTGTACAAATTTTTGCCGATAGGGATGAGAATGTAAAAAATGTAAAAAAAACATTGACTATTGTACAAATTGTTAACAACAAAAAAATGAAAAAAATTTGTTAAAAAAAGATATTAAAAAAACAAAAAAAAAGTAAAAAAAACTTACTTGTTGCTGCAGGGATGAGAGTTGGGCTATCCTTGCACCAACTCTAGACGTTGTGGATGAAATAAATGAATACATGACATCATTAAACAACGCTGGAGAAGCAAAAAGCTACTTGAACTCTGATGCGGTGTGTAATTCTGATTCAAATGTAGATTTCTTAACAGACTTACATTCTCCTAAATTTCTAAATAACATACGAGCATCGGGTGTGCCAAATCATGAATCGAGAGTAACTGATTTTATAGAACAGTATATAAATTTTTTAAGTAATTCAAATTTATGCATAAATAATTCATGGATTATAAATAACCTTACAAAATCTTACTAATAAAATACAATAAAATCTATCTAGCTTTACATTAACTTAAAACAATCCACGAATGTCACATAATCCATGGATTCTAAACAATCTTTTAAAATCTAAATTGAATACACACCCCTTAGTGTATAATTTGTCCGTGCAAATTATGAAAATGGAGATCAGAAAAAATTAAAATGAAAAATGGAGATAGTTTGAAAATGGAGAAAAGAAAAAAAGAAAAATGAAAAAAAGGCCGGAGGGGAAAAGGATACCCACCCACCCAACCAAACAAACAAAATCCAGATCAGTGAGCAGCAAACAAGAGGTGTAGATGACACTCTCAAAATGGTGGAATCCCAAACCCTCTGATTCTTCAACGTTGTTGTTTCTTAAAGCAAGGGAAGTTACAGTGATCGAGAAAGCTCATCCTTTTTCCAGATAAAGCAAATGCTGAAGCTCTCACGGAACCTCCTTTTTATTTCACACTCTAAACTCTACTCCAACCAAATCAAATCCCCATCTCTGCTATCTCTCTCTCTCTCTCTCTCTGTGTCTCTGTGTGTTTGTAATCTGATTGATTGATTGATTTCACCTGAATCTTTATAGGGCGGTCCGGAAATGTCCGACGGGCTGCCCAAACTCCGGCAGCACCCGCGCCCGCCGCAGCCTCATCGCCGCCGGTCGTGGTGTTGCTCTTTCGCGGTGCCGCCTCACAGCCCGGATAACCTCATTTCCGCTGCTCGCTCCGCCTCCAACAAGGCCCCGTCTGCCCAGAAGAACGCGCTGAGCTTCCTTTCCTTCCCGAACTCGCCTCCTTCTCAGAGCAGCTCCAAGACCAACGGCGTCGCCAACCGGATCGTGCCGCGCAGGATCCGCTCCCCGGGTCGGGTCTCGCCTATAGATTCTCTGGACGAAAACCCGGCCCCCAATCCTACCCTCCACCCGCACTCCCCCTCATCCTCCTCTCTCCAGATTGCTAAATCCCCTCTACGTCGCCGGGAGTGTGAGGTGTCGTGTTCATCCTTGAGGGAGGATGAGGATTTGGGGATCTTCGACGCAAGGCTGAGTCTGAAAGGGCAGAATGGGGAGAGATGTGTGCTGGAGCTGAATTCAGAGGTTCTTGTTGCCAACAGCTCTGTTTTTGCAGATTTGGTGGCTGATTACAGGAGAAAATCGAAGGGTTTGTGTAGGCTAGAGGTCCTCAATGTGGATAATTTGGGCATTTTTCAGGAGACGGTTGAGCTCATGTTTGAGGAAGATATCCCCAAAAGACTCATGAAGGCCGGGGTTCATCGCACCATTGATATGCTGGAGGTGACCACATTTTCCTATTCTCCTTTTGGTAAAATCTGATTCAACATCTTCTGGAGCAAAATCCATTATGGGAGTTGTACATAAGTTGTCAGGGCTTTGATGAGATGAAGACTAAAATTTGGCACTCTCTTTTCTTTTGTTTGCACTTTTTTTTTTTAGGTATCAGCAGGCCTGAAGTTTGCAAGGGGCGTTCAGTCATGCCTAGAGTACATTGAGGCCATGCCATGGAGTGAAGAAGAAGAGGGGAAACTTAGGAGCTTGTTTAGTAAACTCAAGTTTGAGGGTGAAACAGCCGGAGACATTATGGCCAGACTCTACGTGCAAGACTCACCGGAGTGTGAGCAAAAGTTGGCCAGGAGTCTTGTTTTGTCGGTGACCAGCTGTAGTGATGTGAATGCCAGAAACGAGCTGAAACCTTTAGTAAAAGGTTTATTGTGCAAAAGCTCAGTCCATGAGAAGGAACGTCCTCAACTGAACAGAGAAGATATATTTGGTGCTTGCAGGTCTTGCCTGTGTTCCCTGGTCACTCTTCTCGAGGAGGCTACTAGCACTGGCCCATCTCGGAAGGATAGGCCGTTAATTGGGAGAATATCAAACCAGGTGGACAACATGAATTGGCTGCTTGATATTTTGCTTGACCGTCACATGGCAGAGGACTTGGTCGACATGTGGACCCACCAAGTGAGATTGCTCCACTTGCACAAGTGTGCATCTCCGATGATTAGGTACGAGCTCAGCCGGGTTTCGGCCAAGTTGTTTGTTGCGATTGGCACCAGAAAGATGCACTGTCGGCCGGAAGCAAGGGTGGGGCTAATGCAGGCGTGGTTCAGACCGATGCTGTTGGACTTTGGGTGGTTGCAAAGGTGTAAGAAGGGACTGGACATGAAGGAGGTGGAGGAAGCCATGGGACAATCACTTCTGACGCTTCCTTTGAAGGAGCAGTACGCGATGTTCATGGAATGGTTCCAATGTTTCTCCAAGAATGGAACCAAATGCCCTAACCTTAGTAAGGCATTCCAGATTTGGTGGAGGAGGTCGTTCCTCAATGGCTCTGAATCTCGCGGTGTTGAGTGTAGGTAATCAAGAATACACACTCTTTCTTTTTTGTTGTTGTTTGGGTATTAGTGTTGAAAATCAGTAACTTAGTATGGCCCTCCTGAATTCATTGTTTTAGTGAGTGAACACATTCTGATTATTGAGAAGGGGAGATTCATACTCGCTCACCCGGTCTTGAATTGGATTTTCGTTTTCTCATGCTTAAGGATCCTGCTGCTTAAGGATTTCTCTTTTCTCATTCACTACCCTAGTTCTATTACTGTATATGCATGTATTTCCTATCAAATAACTTGGCTACCTGACTGCCATGCTGCTTTTTTATTAATGTGGATTCATCTCAGTATGAGGTGTTTTTACTTTCAGCTTTGTAACTGCGAATTCAAATCATTGGTTTGTAGTTTAGTAGTTTGTGCACACTCCATTTGTTTTTTATTTACTACTCGTACAACACTCTCGAACCTTAGAAACAGTTAACCATAAGAGATAAGGAGCCACATTAATTTCACCCTGATAAAAATGATGAACACAATAGACCGGCTGATGATTTCTTCTTTTGAAATCGTTTTCGGGTGTGATACATCATCATCATACATGCTTGTAATAAGAGATTACAAGATGCATATAGAGAAATACTGTATTAGTTAAGTATCGACTTGCTCTCTCACTTGTGCTTCTTGCCCCCAGCAAGGATACGTTGGATCTGAAGGCCTCGGCTGAAGGCTTGGTTGTAAAGCAGCCTGGTTTGGAACTCAGACACAAAGGGGAACCAGGCCAGAACAGCAACGGGTGTGAAGATAGTGAGGCCCATTATGTAGTCGTACCCTCTCCCCAGAGCCTTGACAGACCCCCACATGCCCACCCACTTCACTATCGGCCTGCACGCCTGGGCTATCTGTAAGATGGCCCACCCTGTCGGCAGGAATGCCAGTAAGCTCGCAAATATATCTCCCACCGTCAGGCTCAAGAACGCAAACAAGATCACCAGTGTCACCACGAACCCAATGAAGAGGAACAACTTCAGTAGCCTGAACATCAGCTGGAAATCTGCACTGAACTTCTTCCTGCCCATCGACACTATCTGTGCTCCCACCCATCCCACATATACTTGTTAGGAGATGACATACAAAAAGAACCTTCATGTACTGAAGAGAGAGATTAAGACATTCAACAGCTCATATACTAATCACTAACCTTCAATATGATCATGACTGCAACAATTACTAGCCAAGACAGACCGTACACCTGCAGCGAAGCAAAAGAAGATCATCATTAGAAATTATTCACCAAATAGATGGTGCATTAACTATTTAGTATTTATGATAGGGGATAAACAATGGTATTTTTGGTATGATAAATCAAGTTGTACTTGATATTCAAAACTTGTGTGGTGTCCTTAGTAGGCGTG